ACCGTGCAGTACAGTCCTGTGTCTACACTGGAATCAGGCCACTGCTGCCGAACACAATTTAATTTTTTTAAAGCGATTGCATTCAGATACCCATGGCCACTGAGGCTCTCATGGCCCAGGGAGATGGATGACCATGAGCCACAGCTTTGTCCCCAGGGCGTCTTTCTGTCCTGGGAGGAGTCAGCATGTCCACATGACAGTAATGCTTGTAATTATGCGACCCGTAAGCTTTCTGTATGCTTTGGTTCAGAATGTGTCACGTGCTCCTCCAAATCGATAAGGAGAGGGCCTACAACAGATGAGCATGAGGCAGGCTTTGGAAGGGAGCATCCCGAAGTATGTGGTCAGGTTGAAGCAAACTAAATCCATGATGAGTTGCTACCTTCTGCCTGCCAGGTGGCAAACATTTTAAAATGTGACCATGTCAACTTGGCAGGGATAAAGATTAGTGGGAACTTGCATCTGCTGTGGGCAAGCATCCTTGTCATTCAGTAGCATGGTGCTGTGTGCCCATGACTTGTGATCTGCTCCTGGGATTGTGCCAGTGAAGCTCCTGCCCTTGTGGCCCAGAAGCCACCACATGTCCACACCCCATTGGTGGTCACATGCAGCAAATCTGACAGGAACGTCACATGGACACCAGGTGAAGGGAGCCCAGCTGCACACAGGGACATAGGCAGATGTGGTGAAACGGCACAGAAGTCACACGGCATCGTGTGCAGTTCAGAACATGGAAGACACAGTGGTGTGGCCCAGGATCACACATGCAGCATGGCTATCAGGACAATCAAAGAATGATAAAGTCCAAGTTAGGTGGCAGGTACTATGGAAGGGCATGTTGGCCCCACGGTGACTTGGTCCTTATTCCATTCATGGCAGTGGGCACATTGGCATTGGTGTGAATCTATGCGTTTACAGATGCAACATTCTGCCTGTTCAGGTGACTTTCAATGCAGGAGTGCCTGGGCAGAGCTACCTGCATAGGTGGAGGGACCTGGGGAGCTGTGGTGGATTCGGAAGGATGCTGTCCCCAGGTGTTGTGGTCCCAAGGAAAAGCCCAGGAGGCGGCAAGCAGCCATGATGGGAGCAGAGGGAGCATGAGTGGGGTGAGCCAGAGGAGGAGAGCAGGTAGCAACGAGGCCCCCACCAGTGCATGTTCCCTTCCCATCCTCTTGAATTTGAGGAAAATCTTGCTCTTCTCTGCCCTGAAAGAAAATACCCCTGTGTCTGACTCTCCTACAGGATATCTGTCATGAGCCAAGCCCAGGCGTGCATTCTTAGTGTCAGCAATGGCGAGTCCAGTCATGAACTTATCTCGTTCTTTTAATGATACATCAAAAATCCAAAACTGATACTTTTTTTTTGAGATGGGGTCTCTGTCGCCCAGGCTGGAGTGCAGTAGCACAGCCATGACTCACCAACCTCAACCTCCTGGGCTCAGGCAATCCTCTCACCTCAGCCTCCTGGCTTGCTGGGCCTATGGGTGCATGGCACCATGCCTGGTTTTTTTTTTTTTTCTGTAGAGACAAGGTCTCACTATGTTGCCCAATCTGGTCTCGAACTTCTGGGCTCAAACAATCCTCCTACCTCAGCCTCCCAAAGTGCTGGGGTTACAGACATGAGCCACTGTGCCCACGCCACCCATTCTTTTTTGAAAGAATTATGGTTTGGCCAGATGCAGTGGCTCACACCTGTAATCCTAGCTCTTTGGAAGGCCAAGCAAGAAGATTGCTTGAGTCCAGGAGTTCGAGACCAGCCTGGGCAACATAGCGAGACCTTGGCTCTGCAAAAAAAGATCAAAAATTAGCTGGGTGTGGTGGTATGCACCTGTCATCCCAGCTATTTGAAAGGCTGAGGAAAGAGGATTGCCTGGGCCCAAGAGGTTGAGGCTGTGGTGAGCTGTGATCATGCCACTGCATTCCAGTGTGAGCAACAGAGTGAGACCCTGATTTTTTTTTTTTTAAATGTATGGTAAATATACATAACATTTACCATCTCAACCCTTTCTAAGTGTACAGTTTAGTGGCATTAAATAAACATTGCCGTTCACCCAATTCTACCCTCCATTTTTTTTTTTTTTTTGAGTTGGAGTCTCGCTCTGTCGCCCAGACTGGAG